TTTATGTTTCTGTAAGTATAAATGTATGTACGAAATTTACAATTACACTATAAGTTATTTTTTATAATAAAGTCATGTTTGTTGTTTTACAGAAAGGAAAGAAAAACATATTGCTACAAGTACTTGGTAAATACATGTGTTATTCATTCTTTTTCCTTTTTTTATTTTTAAAATTCAGTAGAAGTACACGATTAAAAAAGGGAAATTCAGAACTTCGAATATGAATGATACCATAGATATGAAGACATAGAAAAAATTGTGATGTATTATAAAAATGCATTAATAATCTAATAATGTTAACTGGTTAAAGGTGGAAGACTCATTAATATCATCGTATCATCGTATCATTTGCTTTGCAATATTATATTTATGTTTTAATAATAATACTACTAATATTCTGTTAAAAGCATTATATAATATATATAACAGGAATACTATAAAATCTTATGAATATATGCAAATTAATAAAAATATTAATTTGAAAGAATATAATTTATTTAAAGCAGCACTTCAAGTACTCGTCTGAACTCTAATTGACATGGTGTTAAAAAAATTATTTTATTTATAATACAACCTTACAAGACACTTATATACAGAACATGGTAATTTATTTATCATATGCAATCAGACTTCAAGATTGTCTTTACAATGCAATTCCATTTTAAACACAATCCTAATTCTTTGGAAAATTAGAATATTAAAATGGAAAGAACTTATATTGCTTATTAATTTGGTTATTTTTAATTGCTTTTTTTGGTTTTCCTTGGTATGTTTGTTAATTATTTACAGTCGTAGCTTTTTTCGTTTTATTTCGCGTTATCTTACATAATTGCTTTGTGATGCATCAGCTAACTATTCTTTCTGTCTTTTTTTGTAGTATAAAATGTATATTTTTTATTTGAATCGAACAACCGAAAATCTTTATTTGGGCAAAAGTAACGGATATGTTAATACTGTATCTATATTTCGATACACCATGGATTCTATATTATAGTTATTTTATACATGGTATTACAGTTTGGCATTACTTAATTCCATAGTAAAATGTTCTTATTACAGTACACGTAATATCCTGTAGTAAAGTATAAAAATAAGAATAAAACATCATTACTTTGTAACAGTATTAAAAAGGTTTAATAGAAATTTAGATTACTTCAACTTTTATGAACATAATAAGCTATAATTTAAATGGTATCTTATTTCTACATCTCAACATTTATATGTTTGCCCCTCACTTCTGAGGTACATTGATGGATGTGTTTGTCATTCTGTATAGTACATCTTAATCGCGTACATAATCATGCGTGCAAAATCGGTAGTTTATATAAAAATCTCCTTAATTTGAGCACATTATACAATATATAAGCACAATATCTTCCTTGAAATTTACTTCGTTTTCGCAATAAGTATTCATTTTGTCATTTGATTCATCTTATTGCAACATTAATGACGGAATATGCATATACATGATGATACGCCAAGTTGTCTTTCGTATCTTGAGTAGTCCTCCGTAAATTTTTTAAATTAACTAATTCAAGAATTGTACATTAATATATAAATTTTGTTTTTCTATAGTGGTGCTCGTAAACGAAGTATTATTTATTAGAAACGATATATAATTGAAAAATAATTGAGATATCGTGGAAAATAATTGAGAAATGTAATACCAATGCAAAAGAAAATATCCTTGCAACAAATTACATTTAAATTAGAATGACATTTTATTGATATATATAATTTATAGAGTAACTATATTCCACTTCCTTTTGATTCGTCACGAATTAACATAAGAGATTGATGCATGTCGATAATTATCAAACATTACATGCTGAATGATCAAAATCCTAATTCTTAAACTTGCCATTACACTTTATACAAATTGGAAAGGAATGAAATAGACGAAAGAAATTTGCATAACATGCGGTAATTATGTATCATAGTGTATTCTGAATTATCTTTTAATTAATACATCGTAAAATAATTACAATAAAGAATAAAAATAATACTTGGAACTTCGAATATGAAGTTTTTTCTTCCAAAAGAAAAAAGAGAAAGTTTCAAGATGTGTATAAATAAGACTAAATTACTGGGAACGAACTTTAGCTTCTACGAAGCCGGCACAGGTTTTGTGGATGGATTTCATTTGTAATTCGAAAAAGAAAGGAAACTAAAATCTTATTGCGTTTCTATGTGTACTGTTGTTACAAATCATTCAGGTTGTAATATAACGATATAATTTATATTATCATTAAGACAGAGTATAATCGGATTCAATTATTTATGATTATCTAGGGAGTATTAAAGACTTTGATCATACAGAGTAATCAGAGTAATCTTACAAAATATATTTAGGAAGTTACTTTACACACATATAAATATACAATTGATAACTGGATAAATGAAGCAGGAAAACCACCTTCTTAAAATGATAAAGGAAAATTTAAAACATCATATACCATGCCTTTGCAATGACTTTGTAAGGAATACATTGTTCTGGAATATTTCTCGCGTTTAGCTTAAGTAAAACGTGAACACAATTTTGAAAAAATATTCAGATACGAAAGGTATCTGAAACACTTATCGATGCTTATCGTTTAAGAAGACTTTGACTTAGAAGTTATTCCGTACGTATTTATTATTTAAATCGTTCATAATAAATTCTATGCAAATGTATAAAATTGGAAAAGAAATTGCTGTTTTAAAGTAAGTTTTACAGTGTGTATATATACATGAAATATATATATATATTTCTCTATATCTTTTGGTATCTGTGTCAATAATTTTGTTGTATGTTTAGCCATCCAAAAAACCAATCAACATAGAAATTATCCTGGAAAGGAGTCAATCGACAGGTATTGCAAGTTCAATTAGATTAAAAAGTCAATTTTCGCGGAAATTCTAGACTCTTTAATAAATTATCCACGTAAGATGAAAATTTAAAAGAAGATAGATAGATCGTACAATCATGAATTTCCTTTTTAAATAAATATTAACAGTTAGCGTATTCCATCGTTTTAAAAAATGAAACAAATTGAGTGAGCCAATTGTACAGAATCTCAGTCGATACAGAAACAGAAGGCTATGTCAAATAATTTTTATAAAACGCGTGTTACAGTAATATATTTAAGTAGAATATACAAATGATTGAATAATAAAAATGATATGCTCATAAAATTTTTCAAATTGATACTATAGTATAATAGGTCTGCAAATTCTTTTTCGTTCACATACCTTAATTCAGAAGTTACGAATACAAGCAATGTGTTTGCTTATATTCAAAGTTTATGATAAGATAGCAATGCTACGTCTAGGTCCGCCTATGCATATATTATCTAAACTCGACCATTTCTTATTACCGGTACGTAAAGCTTCAGCAGTGACTTTGTCTTCATAAACTCTGGACATTGCTTCCAATTTCTGAGCTTTCTCTTTACTGAGCGGCTCGCTAGGGAATGTTAGTTCATTTGCTTCTGCAAGTGTGCGGAGATCAAAATAATATTTAGCGTACACGCTCGAAGGAACATTTATATTGAATTGCAGCATCTCCAAGAATTGTCTTTCTAATTCATTCCTAGATAAATGTATTAAATGGCAATTAAACATCGTTTCCCGACACATTTAATCGTTATTACGATTTGAATAGAAACTCACATATCTTCTACTGTAATATCTTTAAGAATTTGGCAATAATCTATATTCCATACTGCCTGGTCATCCCAAACTTTCGACGCTAATAAAACAGCTCCAAGTACTATTCGCTTCCAATTGGCTGGTGTTATATCTATTTCTGCATATGTAAGTAAGCGTTCCAGATAAACTAACGTTATAATGGCACATTCAGCTGTAAGTTGAGCAGCATTAAATAATGTTCTCACAAATTTATATATCTGTTTATGTTCTGGGTTATATTTATCATAATCTTCTGTAACACCTTCTCTCTGTAAAATCAGAAAAAGAAATCAGAATGACATTTTACAGGTTTATATTAACTTATATTTCATCTGAATTTAAGAAAATTCCAAAAATGTCTTATAACATTAGCGATTCGCTTTGTTTGACTCACTGTTAATGGATGCAGTTTCTCATCAAATATATCGATTTGTCGTTGTGAGGTTCTGTTTTTTATGTGATAGTAAACGGCTAAGGCAACACATTTCACAGTATTTTTAAGATTAGGTTGTGAAACAGTACTATCGTCTAAATATATTGTACTGCAACTGCTACTCTTTTTTAAAGGCCTTGTGTCTGCAATTTGATGCTGACTCTTTTTTCTTACCATGCCACCTAGAAAAAAATGTATTTGGGAAGACCAGTTAGTTGGGAAAATGTTTGCAACATCGAAAACATTTAATATTAATAATTACCAGCATTGTTATAATAGTCATAACCGTAAGAACTTAACTTTGATAAATTTGAATTTATACATTTGCAATATAATATTCTACAATGATAACAGTATAAAAAGTTGAAATTAATAATACATACTTTCGATAGCTTGCTTAGATCGCTCCATAAAAATAGTACCAGTACATGGATGTAACGACGGATCCGAATCCCAGTCTTCAGGTTCGCGTTCGCTAATATGTTGTAAATTATTAATGCTAACTCCACCCTCAGGTAAATGTTCCTCGAGGGCTCGAGCAACACCTTCAGATCCTAATTCCTTGCGTCCGACTTGCGGACTAGAATATACACAGCAACTACTTTTATTTCCCATCCTTTCATGAGAGTTAACGATATCACTGTTTTATTCTCACCCCGAAGAAAAGTTTATGAAATATCGATTCAGCTGTAATACTTGTTACCACAAAGATTATACAAATGATGGAATTTAGAGCTCATCACTACACAGAATTTAAATGTTCCTTATAAAATGACAATCAGCTGATAGTCTTATCAACGATATTAATATACATTCCTTTGCCAATTTCATCCGGATTGATATTTAGAAATACCGTATATATGCATGTATATATACAAGTTTTAAAACATAGGAATTGTAGGAAGCAATACAAAGAGCCACTTTACGAATCTATTGCAATTAATAATATAATAAATGTCTACTGTATTGACGTCCTCGAGCACAGTCTGTGCCGGTTGGTTATTCTTTAAATTACTAATCAGTCAAATTTTATTTTTGCTCGTAGGCACGAGCCCTAATACGTTCTGTTCGTTGTGCGTCATTCTCATTGTTACTCCAGGCTTAACGCGATTATTTCAATATTTTCGTACGTATCTTCGAACGCCGCCCTTGTAGTCCTGTTTTGATATTGCATATTCATGCATAAACTATAACGAACATCTATAGCAGAAAAACGTCTTTGGAATCCAGCTTTTGTGCAGGTACATGCTATTTTCATTGGTTCTGTAACACCAAAAAATTTCCTCGTATCTCGAGCAAGAACGACATTTCTTACTGTATGCATTTACATTATCATTGGTCCGCAGTTATGGAGGCTATAAAACGTCTTTTTACTGTTGATGATAAAGTTTCTACTACAGGAGGAACACGGCAGTTTTACACACACAGAGCTTCGTCTTCTTTACGAATGATACTTTCGTCATTTTCTTCGGGACACAGATCAAAGAACAACCAACGAACATTACGTAAAATTAATGTAAATGAGTACAGTCGAAGGCAACGAACAACACCGTGAAACGATGCAAGATATCTACCTTGTGAGTTTTCATTTAAATTTAAATAACAATTTTAGACGATAAATCCGATTATGTTTACTTTATACCTCCGTACGTGGAAAATGATTACGGCGTTATCTACTGAAAACCGATCAAATTAATACCATAGACTTGCAGCACAGATTTAAGGTAAATCAGAAGATGGCGCTGCAATCATTGCTGAATTACCAGACCGATAAGGTGGTCCGACGCATCGTCCGACAAAAGCATTTCCGTCAAGGAATTTCAAAATTTATTACAACTCTGAATTCCTTGCACCTTACCGATTAATAAGCGAGGTTATCAAACGAAATCCTATCGAAAATACTCGTGTCATCGACACGCATCCACGATACGCGACAGAAGTCCATAAACGATAAATTTCATAACTGCTTGGAATATAATCAAGAATTAAGTTTACTATTCGTGCTGCACGATTACGTATTTCGTCGAGGTTCGTGAACATTTCAATATAATTATTAAACATCTTACTACATTTCATTTCTCCTCTCGCGGTAACATTCAAATTTCCCATGATTTCCCGCGTTACTCGAGTAGCAATAAATTACCCAAAATTCTTTGTGCGCAGTACAGTGACGTACCGAAATCGCTCAGACCCCGTGGTCAAACGGACCATAAAGAAACTGTACGTGTTTCTGTAAAACGTGAAAAATTCTCTTGTACAATTGTTACCCTGATAAAAAGTCATAGTCACGCAGAATCTGTAAGGGTTATCGCAGATAAAATGTCGATTTGTAAATTTCCAGGTTACACTTGGTTGCTACGCGGTTGGGACGGAGTTGCGCGGAAGACGAAAATGAAAGTGGGGCGCAGGATGTCCGAGTGGGGATGGCAGTTTGCGCGCGGCAGTGGTTGAGTTAGGGTTGTCGAAGTGTATTTTTGTCCGTGGTGACATATTAACACGTTTGCTACCAGTGTTCATATATATTCACGTGTACCAGGATCTCGTGTTTCAGTGAAAGCGAATAGAAATGAGTCTCGTGCATTTGATCTCGAGTCGCCGCGTATAGGGTAACGTTTAGTAGCTCGGCGGCTCTCTCTCGTCGGATCCCTCAGATCCTTGGCGAAAATGACGCGCCGAATTGAATGAAATTCACCGTCAACATGAAGGCAGTAACAGAGTTAAGTATTGGTAGCGATCGTGTTAATATCTGGTTCTAGTGATGGAATTTTTATGAAGCATCGTAATTGACCGTACACGCGACGCGATATCCGTTCACCGTGCAAGAAGACAACGAGCAGGGTATATGCGTGATCATGGGAATCCTGAAGGACCTTGGCCGGTGAGTGAACATAATTGATTTTCTCACAGTATATTTTTATCTAATTGAATCGCTGTGCTCGCAAGGTCGTCTTATAACGTAAATAATTGTGCATCCGATTAACCATCGCTCCGACATCGCGTTTCCCGTATCTCGTATCTCTTACCGAGAAAGCACCGTATCCTATTGAACGGGGTTTAGTCTACCTTGTTTCTCCAGCGATTCAATTATTTCTCACAGATCGCCGAGATTTGACAAATCTCGAGATTTACCGACGATGACCTTTACTGATTCGTTTACCGACCGATGTGCTTACCGACCGCTCCCAGTCGAACGTTAATTATCGACGGTGTAGTTACCATCGTTGTTCTATATAAGTAACGCGTTAGCCACGCGGTGGCGCTGACGGTGTCCCATGAATATTCCACGAGAGCGCTCCGGACGCTTTTACCTTCGCAAAGGGAACTTCGCGCTGGCGTGAAGTAAGTAGGTTATGTCCCACGAAGAATGCCTCGTGACTCGCCGGCTATTAACGTGTGACGAGGGTGACGCGACGAGACATGTTTCATAAAAAGTGGCGTTTCCCTTCTCGTTGGGAACGAGCCGTCCGCTCGGCGTCCCCGACGTTCGCGTTTGACGTCACTCCGCGTCTACACGATAATCAAGTGAAATTGACGATATTAATCCGCGGCAATGAAATTAATTTCGCCATCCGAACGAAGAACCGCGGGGCGGTTTGAACGCGCGCGTGACGTCACGATTCCTCTGGTTTACTCGGTTCGTTCCGTTGGGAACCCGTGCGAACCGGAACACGCCCGATAGCGTATCGCAGCTCATTTTTTTTCGTTTTTCGTTCAAGGACGAACGTCTCGTCTCGTCTCGTCTCGTCTCGTCTCCTCTCGTCTCGTCTCGTCTCGTTTACGTCACACGTACTTCCGTTGTATCGGAATGGTTGAAAATTGAAATATTTCAAGCTGACAATTCTCGACCACGTGTTTCCGTTTTACCGAAATGTTTGACAATTGAAATATTTCAAGTTGACGATTCTCGTCTCGTCCCACGTTGTTACACGTGCTTCCGTTGTATCGGAATGTTTGAAAATTGAAATATTTCAAATTGACAATTCTCGACCACGTGTTTCCGCTTTACCGAAATATTTGACAATTGAAATATTTCAAGTTGAAAATTATCGCGTTATCCGCGTCGCGACGCGTGTTTCCGTTCTATCGGGATATTCGAAAATTGGAAATATTTCAAGGTTCGAAATCTAAATTGTTCCATGACCTCGTTCCGATTGTTGGAAAACCCGGCTCGCACGGCAGCCGAGCGCCAGAACCATGAAATATACTCGAAGGAATGAGTTTTCATAGATTTTTCTTGGCACACGGTATTCCGTGGTTCCGGAACCATGTGTGTGCGCGGTCGCGCGTGCGCGACGCACGTTCCGCAGCTAAGCTGGTCAAAGATCACCGGTTCTCGATGCGGCGTGAACCAAACGGGAAAATAGTCACCGTATCTCCGCGAGGAACAATTACCCACGCGACACGATCGCGCATTAACACGTTAAGCGCCACGAAAATCTTAAGCGTTTTCCCATAGAGTTTGTATTTTGTAGCAAAGAAAAGTAGGAATACTTATGAATTGTTTGGCGTTGCAACGTTCGCGTTACACTATTATCAACTTAGTTGCCTTATTAAACATTTTTATTTCACATCGGTTGTCTTGTATGTTACGATTGTTTTTTAGTCATTCAGAAGCGTCAGTCACCAGTGGCTGACATGGCGCTTAACGTGTTAACACTCGAACTAGTTGAATTCTCTTTTTCAAAATGCTCCGTGAAAACTTGAACCGTGCGATTATCGAGACTCGAGTTGGTTTCTCTGGTACTCTTTGAACTCTTCTGGAACAATTGGAAAAAATGAAATCGGGAATGTTAACGCGTCGAGTGGCAGGATGCAGCTGTTGAGATTTCAATTAGTTACGATTCAATTACTTTAGTAATTCTCGCAGAGAAGCGTCTGTTACCTTTTGATCATTGGTCAGTTTGACCCATTCGGCAGTTGCCACGGGGGTCACCGGTGACCCAACCAAATCGAATTACTGTAGCTGATTCGATTAAGTTATTTGATACAATTTCTATCTTATAAATAATGCGGTAGTGACAATGCAATTCAATCGAACGATTCAGCATTGCGTTCGTTCATTTTGTGTATTTCGCTCGAAGAAATCGCACGGCGTTGAACGTGTTAACGAGCGAAGGCTGAACGCTAATTAACGAACAAAGTAAACGCTCGGACCGCGATTGCAATCTGTTCCTTCGAAACCTGCTTCTCGTTACTTATGAATTTCGTTGATCTCCTTGTATACTTTAGTCAAGGCAACGCCACCTTTGCCTCGGAAATAAATTCTCTGCTATTAACGCGTCCAATACCACGTGTACCACATGTGGTACACGAGAATTTTTGTACTGGCGAGATAAAACGTATTTAGAATAATCGCCGAGTCGCGAGCAAACGATTCTGGTCAAACAGCAGGAGAGCACGTAGTTTCCCTTCTTTCTATTAATCGAGCAATTATACAATTATATCATATTATTCAGTTTTTAAAATTTCTTTTTATCAGTTAACACGTTCGCACCGTGTAATTTCCACTCTTTCCCATTTGGCTGAATTCTTAAAATTGATAAGAATATTGAATTGATCAATAAGTGAATTAATTCTCAACTATACGGCAATGTTTTCTAATTACCAAACCACTGGAGCCACATATTTCATGCTACACACCGTCCGAGCCATCAAAGGTACACACCGTCTAACGCGATACCTTGCCGTGAGCCACCGGTGGTACACGCCGGCGCGAACGTGTTAACGTACGGTTTCTCTCGAAAGAATTCCCAGCGAGAATCGCAATTGCAAGGACCGTTACAAGTATGTCAATGGAACACGTCCAGCGACACTGGACGGTGGACCGCGAAGGGTTAACGAGATCGAAGGAAATCGCGTGGCACCTCGTAAGCGGCGGCCGGTTAGACGCGTAGCCTGTCGTGCCGCGCGTAGTTCCGCCCCGTCGTCTGGGGCATTGCTCGAACCGCTGAAAATCGTCTAGAAAAACCCGTGAGACCGGCGCCGGAAAAGCCATCCGGATAGTCGTCGCGTCACGTCGATTGAAATCGCGCGCGATCTTCTCGCACCGGTCGCGGCGCGGAGCTTTTCCCCGTTTCCCCGAGAGCGTGCGCGCGGCCAGTATCGGATGGGCGGGGCGGCGGGCGGTCCGGAGGGCGGCGAAGGGGAAGGGTTCGCCGGCGGTCCTGGGACGGCGTGTACAAACAGTGAACACGCGCGCACCGAGCCGATAGAGGACAGACTTCGCAAGAAGACACGGGCGTCGGAGTCGTCTAGAATATTCCTGGGTTAGCTGCCGCGAACGCTGGTGTCGAGGGGAC